GGTTTTTGTGAATTTTTTAATTAAAATATCAAAAGCATTAACAACGCAGATTCATGTTTACCAACGGTGTCAATAATTCTGGCCATGACTGTATATGTTTTTATACAGTCTATGGTATATACACACACACACACAAATTCTAATATATATTTACACATTTTTGATACGTTTGATATGTTTTGACATGTTTGAGACAAATTTCCACAAACAACTGCATGAGAGGTGTTTGACCAATATTTATGAATATAATACAGTGGGTGTGGCAATGGTCACATGACAAGGAAGTAATATAGATTTGAATATTTCAAAAATTCACAAAAAATACACAAAATCATATTTCAAAAATCCAAGTCATGTATGATGTGTGTCAGGATTGAGTGAAGATCTTAAAACTGGTGTGACATCAACAGGTCACATTGTAACAGTTCTATGTTGAATTTACTGTTACTGTAGTTCTTCTCCTCTATGTCCTCAGGTATGAGGGTGAGGACTCCAATATAAGCAGAGAGAGTAAGTGAAGTGGGGTGGTTGGTTTTAATACAGAGGCAGGATGTTTGAGTATAGCTCACTGTTTTCATCCTTTGTTAGGCCAGAGATGGGAAAATGTTTTCTACTGAATCCCTGAGCCTTATGTTAAATTAAGTGTATGTTACACGGGGTCTTGAGTCAAGTTGCCTTATTAGACTGTGTACGATAAATTCAACCTCGAAATGCCATTGGATTATATACTGACGGTCTGTGGATTATTCATTGACTGATTCATCGTGCCATCGCCGGTATTGGAACGTTTGGGACAAAATTGTTGGCAACAGCCAAACAACGCTGGAAATACAGCTTTTTGTAGAACGTATTGCATGGACTGTTTTGAAGGAACTGATTTGTACATATTATGGAGAGGGGGTGAAATGGTTGTTTATGTGTGGAGGTTGCTTGTTTGTATACACTATGGCACTTTAATATATCAGTATCAAGAACTCAGTGGATTGCATCCCATATTTTTATTGTGACTTTTGTTAAACTGATGTTTGAGAGTTTGTTACAACATGACCAGGGAGTTTAATAGATTTGTATGACAAAAAATTCACTAAAATTACACTTTTATTTTCACAATCTGACTCGTGTATGATGGAAAGGAAATGCGTGTGAACGAAGTAGACCTGTTGTGATGTCATCAGATCACATGACCAGAAAGTTTAATAGATTTGTATGACGGAAAAATTCATTCAAATTAGACCAGTGAACAGGACATGTCACAAGGACCTGAGTTCGATTCCTACTTATGTCAGGTTGATGTAGAATTTATTTCCTTTCTCTCACTCATTTTCCTATTTACAGTGTCCTATGAAATAAATGTTGCAAATAAAAAAAAATATGTTCATAAAGCTATATAAGGTGTGACGTGAATTTATTGCTGATGGTCTTGTATGTGGTTAAGATGCTAAATAAATATGAATAAATTTTAAAACAAAATCACAGCCATAAGTTTGTGTTTTTTGTCATGGTCATATGTTTAATACTACATTTGCATAACGCTGCTTATGTTTTAGAGCCAGAGAGACACGTTTTTTTTTTAATCTGTTCACACTTTAGAGACGCTCCCTAACTTTCCAAGCCGAAAGTCAAACGAATGTCCAATATAAAATCAACTTTACCGCAATAAAAATGATGCAATAAACTTAACAAAACATCAGTAAAGTTTTGGTTATCATTCAGATGAGGTCCACTAAACTTATGAAAGTTACAAAAGTTATTTAGACAACAATAGTGTACGATCTTTTGTCTATTGTTATTTGATTAGCATTAAAGTGCAGACAGCAGCGCTAGGATGCAACAGACATGTTAGAAAACACTCTCTGTCTTGTTAAGAGAATGTTCCAGATATGTCTCACCCCTCCTTTTTTTTCTCCCTCTCTCTCATTCTATATATACAACACATTCTCTCTGAATTCCTCCTTCTGTATCCATCTCTCTCTCTTGATATTATGTTTTAAATATGTCTTACTTATATGCGAGGTATGCATGCTTAAATGTATACATTAGCTTCTCTTGGTTCAAATGTCCCAAATAAGGACATGATAGCTAGGAATGTTAGGACTACAAGGGTAAAGGAGTTCGAGAGAAACTCTGAAGACAGTTCAGCATTCTTCGCAAAAGTCTATTCCTAATATGTCCATGTTTTTCTGTACATGTGGCCATTTTATATAAACACATGTTCTTGGCCAAAGATCCTACGTGTATGTTATTCATATCCTCATTGGTTAAGAGGGTGAAACTCCCCTCGACATATGCCTATATAATATCTGTATTTCTATGAATAAATTGAAGTATTGAAGATACATTTGACTGTGTGTTTTCTTACTTCCCGGCCGTCTACACTTTAAGTAACTGAGAATTCTTCAAGGTGGCAAAGAGAATTTACAAAGGGACCAAATTGTTATTCTTTATTAACAAGACATTATACAGCTCAGTGCCTTCACGCAGTTCATTAATAAACCATCGGTTTGTTATATCTGTAGATTATATTGATGGTTACTTGTTATCTTTCCTGTGGCTGTCTACAAGAGATGACGTAGGAGGTCTGGGGGATTATGGGCAAAACACTGGAAGAGGAACTGCGATTGTATGGGTGAATAAAGCGAGAGCTCAGTTCTACAAAAGGTGTCAGTTAATCTGTCTATATGCATCTACAATATCAGCCTTTTTCCTTATATAGCCGATATGCCGATGGTTGTAAATTGAGGAAAAATCAGCTGATAAATATTGGCAGCCGATACATCGGTGCATCCCCATTTCAAATGTAACCGCACAACCTAATTAGACCCTACAATGCAAAAGAATCATGAGCAATAAATATCCTAAGAACACTGGACATTATACAATATTTCCACTATTATATACAGTAGGGCTGGGTAAAAGATATAGATATCTCGATTTTAATTGATTCTCATTTTTATGGAACGATATCTATTCTTAAATCCCAAGAATCGATTAGTCTAGCCCGTTTTCAGTTAATGGACCATTGAAGGGCACTTCCCATCCAATAAATGGCAATATGCATTGCGCTTTGGTACTTTTAATATGAAACAAAGTCTCAGATTTCAAATTCTGTCCATTGTATTGCTGTATTTAAACAATGAATGCCATTTTGGCGCTGTTTAATGTGGAGTGAAAGATCGCTGTAGCGCGACGGGCCTCAGTTCAATAAAAGCGGCAGCGCGAGGAGCACGTGATTATTAGCTTACAAATCAGTCAGTTGTAACCTTCAATATTATAGTAATGTAGTAAATTAGTTCCTTGAGAAAATTTGGCATGTACTGTACCTGATATATATTAGCAGGGATGTATCCAAAATAATCGATATTTAATTTAATCGAATTGATTATCGAATCGAAAGCTTGTGAACAAGAATCGAATCGTGAAATGTGTCAAAACCCAGCCTTAATATACAGTACTTTAATATTTAAACCTCAATATGACCTTCTTTTTTTCTCGCGTTTGATCTCTCGCACTACTAAAAGCTTATGTTGACAGAGTCAACAGATTAATACATATTGAATTCAAAAACAAAACTCCTTACTTTATATCATTAAAATGAAATAGGAAGCTGCTTACATCCACACTGGCGCAACAGGGATGCCTTCACTTCCAGGTCAATTGTTAGCTCCGCCCCCACGAGAGATTTGTGCCAGAACGGTGAACGAAAACTTCAGAAGCGTAAATGAAAACTTTAGAAGTGTAAATGAAAACTTTAGAAGCGTAAATGAAAACTCTGGAAGTGCATTTGTATGTAGAGATCAGCAAATGAAAGAACAGAAAACAGTTGCAAAACATGCAGTGTATTAAAAACGAAGTCAAAGATTTTGCCTGCAATTTATTTTTTATTTTTTCAGTTTCAATGGCATTTTATTCAGTTTCAATTTATATTTTCATAAGTTTCTTAAATTACATTCATTTTAATCGGCACAAAGGTACTTCCATAAATGTTAACCATAAGTTAACATATTCCATGTTGTGCCATAGCCAAGCCACATATGGCTTTCAGTTGTGTGCTGTCATCTGGGCCATATACTACAAATAGTCATCGAAAAAAGAAAATTCCCTCCAATTCTAAAGCCATGGCAAAACATATATGGTGAAAGTTTGGTCCATATGTGCTCAGCCATGCCATGCCTAGGCCAACTGTGACAGCTATCAGCCACATTTGGCCTAAAAGTTCTTGTTATCTGGGACGATGGCTTTCTTCTTCCATGAGGGGGTTTGGCGTCACGGCATCTTTGTTTCCAGGCGGAATGTTAAAGTACGCGACACACAAGTCTCACAGAAATCCTGTAGAATTCAACCAGTCAGATAACTACTTAGAAACTCCTGAAGTGTTTCCAATTTTATGTGCCATATGCATCAGACATTCAGCCAGTGGTCAGTGGGTGTGGCGTCTGAGGCTGAGACTAGGACCGCGAGATGCATCCATCAGGACCACGAATCCTTTTGATATAATACAATAAATAAATGCCAAATGCTGTTTTCTAATAAAATCAAATGTATATCAAGCACATCAAGGTCAGCTCAGCCGTTTCGATCCTATGGTGCCACATGTTGCTACTACAGTTAACTGTTGCTATGTTCAGACGTGTGGTCGTGCGTGCAGTGAAGAGAGCAGAGAGTGGCGTGCAGACAGATTAAACTTTCAGTGAGTGAAAAACAATGGCATTCTCTAAAAATTAGGAAAGTTGACGGGTCCTTAAAAAGTCTTAAATTTAGTTGCATCAAATTAAAGACCATAAAAAGTCTTAAATAGTGCAAGAAAGTTTTAATTATGATTTCAGGAGGTCTTAAATTTGGGGATGGAAAGACAAGAATTGCAATACGGCTTAATGTGACCATTAAACTTCAAAAGGCTGTGATTTCATTGAATAAACATGAACGCTGCACGTTTCAATGATGCTGTGCTGCTTTGTGTCCTGCCGTTACCGGGGAAATGCTATATTTCTGCCATTCCAAAAGCACCTCCTGCTTTCAGAGAATGAATTTGCATTTCATTCAGCCCGTCTGCTGTTTTTGTTCAGACCAGTGTGAAAATCAACCCATGTTTTTATGCAGTAAACACAGAGAGTTGTAAATGTGAACTGGTGGATCGACAAGAAGATAATGCAATGCAAAAATTTTAATAATTACTAATAATTTAATTATATTTACATGTTAATTAATTTAATAATTGACTGATAATAATTCATTTTAATTCAATTCAATAATAATAATTAAAGTTCTGGTGAACTCCATGCCCAAGAGGGTTAAGGCAGTGCTGGAAAATAATGGTGACCACACAACATATTAACACTTTGGGCCCAATTTGGACATTTTCACTTAGGGGTGTACTCGCTTTTGTGTCCAGCGCTTTAGACATTAATGGCTGTGTGTTGAGTTATTTTGAGGGGACAGCAAATTTACACTGTTATACAAGCTGTACACTCACTAATTTACATTGTAGCAAAGTGTCATTTCTTCAGTGTTGTCACATGAAAAGATATAATACAATATTTACAAAAATGTGAGGGGTGTACTCACTTCTGTGAGATACTGTATATACCGTATTGACCCGAATATAAGACGATGTTTTTTTTCTTGGAAATACATCTGAAAAAACGTGGTCGTCTTATATTCAGGGTCTAGACTTTGACAGGTCAATAATACACCCACAACAGTAGGTGGCGCCAAATACGCATAAAACGAGTGTGCCATGAAATACGTAACGTAATGCGTGTTGTAAAGATCGCGAGTGAAAACAAAAGAAAAAGAAAACCTTAAAGCTGCATGAGTCGTGACTGTCACGTTAGCTTGATGGGACCAAACTCTCTTTGTGATTTTAAAACTTAAAACAGTACCCAGATTTGAGGACTACAGTAAGGTAGGCTACTATTAGATGGATAGCCTAAATGTCCTAATTCAGATGGGCTACCTGTTGTTTTTTTTAAGTGTATATTTTTTTAATGTGATTGTTGCTACATTTTACCAGTTTTTACCATACTTTCAAAACAAAAATAGGAAAAATATGCAATATGAAAATAATTGAAGAAGATGCTGTGGGACCATTATTAAACCGGCAGTTTGTGCTGGAAAACGTTCAAGTGTTGCTGAACTAAAACAAGTCTGCAAACGAAATCCTACCACAGCGCAATGAAAGACTGATCTGCAGTTATCTCAAGCGTCTGGTTACAGTTATTGCTGCTAAAGTTAAATTACTTTTTCACATGGATTAAATTTTTTTCTTAAAATCTGTATTCTGTTTACTCAGATTGTCTTTGTGTTATGGTGTATTTTGTTTGAATATCTAAAACTACTTAGTATGAGATGTACACACACAAAAAATCAAAATGAAGCAAATACTTTTTCAAAGCACATATGAATGTAATGATAGCTGTGTTTATGACTATTTATTGTTCTTGGATTAGGAATTTAATATTAGAAATTATATTAGCGAAAGTGGTTTTCTCCCTGTTATCGCGTACATGACCGCGCTCCTGCTCCATGTTTAGTGCAAGTGTGAGTGCAGGCCAGCGGAGTAGGGGGTAATCGCGCTCGCGCTCGGATCAAGGCAGGGCCGGACTGGGACAAAATTTCAGGCCGGGAAATCTCACTCCTCCAGGCCATCCCATACACCCACAACACATTTTGAAACCCTATTTTTTATGGCCATCACCATCACATAAAAAAGGTTTAAATCCTTAGGATGGGGACGTGCAAAATGATTCGTTTCTCTCTTCAACTTCACTTCCATTTTCCTTTTTATTCTCTTCATTTTCCCCGATAGGCTATCTCTCACCAATTGTGTGTGTGCGTTTACTTTTTTGCTAATTTTCTTGTACATGTCACTTTTTCATCAGCTCGTCTCCACCTTGCTGCAGAACAACCACTTCATTATCATTTTTTTTGCAGATAATATACATTTTAGTTAAATTTAAAGTATTGCATTACTACCATCTGTTATTATCTTAAATTGACAAAAAAACTCGAGATTTTAAAAAAAAACTATATTTTCTAGATTGTCTAAATGTCAAAATTAATAAAAAATAAAAAAACATCATAAAAATATCTTTATAGAAAAATCATTATACTGAATATGTCATTGCATTATCATGAGTCAAGTTTTTCCCAAACGAAAATTAACCATTTTTATTATAGTAAAAGTAAAGTAACTATGGTTATTTTGCGGATTACCATTTGTATAACCATAGTTTAACTACAAATACCACTGTGAAACTATGGGTAGTGTAGCAAACCCATTGTTAATTTGTGGTTACCATGATTTAGGCATACCTATAGTAACCACGTTTTAAAAAAAAAAAATTTATTCGTAGTAAAACCATAATTAATTTTCGTAAGGGTTGTGTTGTCTGCCCTAGCTTCCTCTAAAGCTGTTATAAAATGATGTGAATATGTGTCTGCTAAATTACTACTGTAACTTTACAATAGATGATGATGTCCATTCAGTATTTTGAGCGACGTTAATGGGGCGCTACTGTTAACAGGTGCTGGCAGTTTAATGCTTAACTACGTAAACAATGACAAAACTGCAATAGCCTATTTACAGATGAAACTGACCTGCGTTCTAACATCGCTTAGAAATTCACTCGGCCAACTGTGAACTCACGGACACAAACTCGCCAGTTCTGAACTTACTCAGAGGATACAGGGTGATTATAATACCTTTAAGTGCCGCACCCTCCTAGCAAATAACAAAAAGTGTATTTTTCCTAGAATCACGAAAACTGTAACTTGTTAAGCCAGGTGACAGACAGAAATCATAAGATCCCTAATGGAGAGCCCCTGCCCTGCTCATTGGTACTTAAGTATGATCTGTCCTGGACGCAGATTTGCGGAAATGTTAGACTACACAATAATAATTGAAAATTGATTTCAGAAGAGATCAGAATAAATCAAATATAACTATTTATTATTAGTCAGGTAAAATTGTATCATGCCAATTACATAATGAAACAATTAGAAGCCAATTTAGAAAGGATAATGCAATTGTGAAACATATTGTATCCGCGTGGCAACATGGTTTACTGTAGCTATATGGAAAATAGCCAAGTGTTCCATGCAGGAGACAAACGAATTTTACATAGTCACACATGTAACAGTTATCCTAATTTAACACAAGACACACGGTCTAAAATGCATAGCATCAACAACCTTTTACCTAAGTATTTCAAAGAACACTTACAGCAAAGTAATCATGTGTTTTTAAAGAATAAACTCAACTAGCCTATGTGCACATGTAGTAGCACAAACAACTATACAGTGTGCTCTATGCACACAATGTGTTTAACACAATTACATTTTTGAATCGTACCTGACAGCAGAGAGACACACAGCAGTGAGAGTTCTGGTGCAGAGCTCCAGAGACTCTCACACACTGCAAGGGGGTTTTTCTGACTACAGAATCCCAAAGACTGATTTGCAACATTCCCTTAAATACTACCAGAACAAAAACAAAGAAATCTTTAAATCAGTTGTAAAAACATAAAAGACCTTTTGGTCTTTTAGGTTCCCGTGCTCCAAGGTTGCACCTGGCTGGAGCTAGATAAACATTCCCACAGGCCTAAAGGGGGACACTCCCCCTTCTCAGCAGAACATAATTCTACAAAGGTTTTGAATCTTTCTCACAATATAAATGACTACTTTGAAATTAAAACCAATTTACCAATCGCACAAAGACCTTTAAAATGACACTAAACATGAAGGGGAAAAACAACAGGTTCACAAGATACATGATATGTGGGATATGCGTATTCTTAATGAACTTTGGGTGAAACCTTTTGGGGGGAAAGAGGGAGAGGCAGAGAGGCCAGGGGGAGAAGGGGGTCGTAAATGGGCGAGGAGAGAGGCGTTGTTTGCTCTCTTTGAAGATTTCTTCTCCAGATAAGTTTTATTGTTTTATTGCATGGTGTCTGTTTGGTGTGAGTTCCTGAGTATTGGTTTCATGAAGAGTTAATTTCATAAGGAAATAAATTCAATCCTTTCACATGTATGAGTTGGCTAAAACATCTTAATTTGAAGGTGCGTTGTGTGGCTGTTTGCAGTAAGCTAACACTTGCTCAATGACAGCGCGACAATAAAGGAATTATATGCGTAACTTTGACTCGATGGCGCTTATAGGTATAAATGCCCAGCTTTTATTCTGGTTTTATCTAAACATTTTTTTTAACAACAGGGGATTGTAAATAACACAATTTTAGTAAAAGTCAATGACTGTGACATATTATGTAGCCTACATTTGAAAAACAGCCATGGGTAAAATGAACCCGTGGCAGTTCTAGTGTTAATATAATAATTTAATAATTTTTTTTAATCTAAAATTCAAATAAAATATTAATAAATACATATCTGATAATCCCAGGTTGATATGGCCACGCGGGTTTGTTTGCACATTAAATTTATGAGAAATTTAAAGAATTTTAAAACAAAAAGAACAGTTACAGTAATTTCTTAATTTATGCCAGGAGTTATGTAAATGAAAAACGAAGTCGAGATCGATATGAAGCTTGAGTCGTAGACCTTTTTAATGATGTAAGTTAGTTTATGAAGTGAATTGCATTGTTTAACATTAAAACTAGCAGTAACTCTGAACTCGTGTAAACAAAGAATGCTTCTGTGCTGGCGTCCTCCCACAGGCCAAGACTGATTTGCAACATTCCCTTAAATACTACCAGAACAAAAACAAAGAAATCTTTAAATCAGTTGTAAAAACATAAAATACCTTTTGGTCTTTTAGGTTCCCGTGCTCCAGGATTGCACCTGGCTGGAGATAGATAAACATTCCCACAGGCCTAAAGGGGTCACACCCCCTCCTCAGCAGAACATAATTCTACAAAGGTTTTGAATCTTTCTCATAATATAAATTACTACTTTGAAATTGAGACCAATTTACCAATCGCACAAAGACCTTTAAAATGACACCAAACATGAAAAGTTTACGATCATGAATCCTGAAGATATAGTATATGTTTTATGTGAGCATAGCAACTTGAGTTCTTGGCATTTCTCTGTCAACTTTTAGTGACCTGGACCATGTGCCCAGGGGGGAAGTATGGGTGAAGGGACTGAAGAGCAAATGGTCTTTTTTCCAGATCTTCCTATCTTGATCAAAGTGAGAGTGTTTGGCTTTACGAGGAGATCAAAGCCCGTCACTTCCTGTTTGTTGCTGCCTTGTGTTTTGAGTTTGAGCTCCGTCAAGTTAATTCTGTCGTCTAATTTTTTATCTTAAAATCAATTTTATACACCATAATTTT